CAGTAAAATTTGTCATTTTCCTTGCATAAACCACCTGACGCCACCTAGAGACTGGACTGGATGTAGTTCCACAAATGCTGTATAGAAGCGGCTGCCAACCCACCCTTTCCCTGGGGTCATCCTTAAACAAGAAGCTGAATACATTCTTTTCTTTTGAGCTTAGGCCGATTACCTGAAGCCAAGAACAAGAGACTATCTGGAAGGCTAGCGAGGACATTATTAAATATTCTTGTCCTTCAAACATCTCCCCAGAAGATGAGCAGAGTGACAGCATGACCATGACCACCATCACTAGACATCTCCACCCACACCCACACACACACCCTCTTTCAGGAGAGTTAGTCTCCATTCCATAGGACAAGTGTCATTACTATCTCCAACTAGGGATCCATTTTTGGCCACATGTATATACCCAGAAAGGTTATGTCTCTCTCCAAATAGCCAATATCCCTGCCTCTAGAAAAACTACATGTCCAAGGGAGATCTCTGCCAAGAGTCAAGAAGATTTCATTTCCATTAACCTGAGAAGCACTTCGGGTTAATGCAGACTCTGGAGCCAGTGTGCCTGGGTGGAATCCCACTTCTGCCACTGACTAGCTTTCTGACATTGGGGGAAGTTACTTAAGCTCTCTGTACCTTGGTTTTCTCACCTATAAAATGGGCATAAAAATAGTACCTACCCATAAGACTGTATAATGACCAAATGCGTTATGATATGTAAAGGACTTAAAACAGTCCTTTTGACATATAGTAAGAACAAGTTAATATTTGATGGTACTATTACTATCTCTATTATTATCATCATTATTATATTCTTGAGTATGTTACACAGCATACTGTTTCCCAGACTTCTCTCAGGTGGGCTGACAATACCATCCCTACTCCAGGATAGTTTAAGGCAAAACAAAAAAAATTCAGATTGCTTTCAGATCAAAGTTAAGAACCTATGAGAACTTTTACCTGGCCATGAATTCTTTGCAGCTATTCCATTAAGAAGTGAAGTCTATTTTCAACTCCCTCAGAGGTACCAGCTGGGTATGGTGGCGTGAGGGATGCCGGACAACATGAGTCAGAACCTAGCCCAAACTGGTGACCCACGGTATCATGAGCAAATAAAATGGTTGTTGTTTTAGGCCATTAAGTTTCTGGTGATTTCTTATATGCAACAGATAACGGACACAGAGCCCTAAACAAATGAGGCTTTATTATCAATAGCATTTCAAACACAAACGTTCACATGAAACCAGGCCACTTGTCTGTCAGCAGGTTAACCAACCTCCACATGGTGCTTCCAAGATCTCATCCCACTCACGTAGGGCCAGTAAGGCCACCACAGTCAGCACATTAACTTGGGAAAAGCTAAGACCAGTGCATGATCAAATCTGGAGACACAGAGGCAAGCCTTCTGTGCCAAGGAAGGGGCCAAATTAGGTCCTTGCAGAGGGTAAGGTGGATGGCATGGAAAAAAGGATTTTGTTCCCTTTAGTCCACGATACAATCCAGGGCCCGAAATGGCAAGATATGGCTTCCCTGGAGGTAGCTCTATACCATGTGTCTTAGATATTATATGATGAAGTGGGTAGATGCCTTCAAGGCACAAGCAAACCAATTCAAGGTCAGCATCACCAAGTGAGAATAAGGGGGAGCCAGTCAGAATCAACCATATAAGCCCCATGGTCCTGATATGTGGCTCCAAGAATACAGGGAGCCCAGAACATCTTCATTTTTTCTGCTGGTCACAGCAAGAGAATGATCACGTTCCAAGCTTCGATTTTGCTGTGACCAAACCAAAAAACCTATCTCACCCCACAATACAAAAGGGGGAAAAAAAATGCCAAGTTCCATAAGTCAGTGTTCTGTCATCTGTAACATGTGGTAAGAACTGATAATCAACTTTGTAGGAGAATCACTCTGAAATACATTAGGAGAGACTTCGGAAGCTTAAGTTCCTGTCTGTTATAAGCAAAACCACCACATCTAAATGAAAGCAATCTTATTAATCTGGTACGTTGGATGACCCGTAGTGCTAAAGTTTCTCAGGTGAAGACCAGTAGCATTTATCCGTCCATGTATTTGTTTATTCATGCCATATTTGTTGAGCACATACTTTGTACCATACAGTTCTGTGGGTGTCTAGAAATGAGAAAGTTGAGGAAGGAGGAAAGCACACGAGTGAAGATAGCAAGGATTATATAAAAGTAGCTAAGACATTCCACGTTCCAAGAGCTTACAGGTCTGGTTATCTCAAAAAACAAAATTTCCTGCTTGAAGCAATTCAGAGTAATCCAGCTGAGCCATGCCCAAATTGCTGCACCGATTGGAACTGATCACGTTATAAATCAAGGGAGTTCAGAAAACTGATTTCATGAAATCACAGAGCTGAGTGGATGTAACTGGTCTGCAGATGAAGATACTAAAATGAAGTAATTTACCCAAGAATTCACAACTGGTTTCAATGCAGAGCCAAATCTGGGTCTCCTGGTCTCAGTCCAATAGGACTTCCACCAACCCCATAGAGACCCGTCTCAAGACACAAGGTATTTACAGTGTGAGAGCACAGAGATACCCCACAATTCTAACCCATCTTGCAGTAGACACACTAGCTATCCAACATAATGAGCAGAAACTCTGCACTTGTCACATGGGAAGAACCCAAAGATACAACTTCTTGTGGAATTAACTAAAGAGCCCTCTAACCACGTACACTCAAATGCTCAGCAGCCCTTAAAATAGGCTAATGAGACAAAGGCACAATACTTGTTCAATTTCAAAACTTAAATCCATAGGAACTATGTGAACAAACGATACACAAAGGTAAAAACAGCAGTAAAACACACTAACATGTTCGTGACTGTAACGCTGGCATCTTTTAAAACTGGGAGAATTCTTCATCTTTCTGCTGTTCCCTAAAGACCAAACATTCTTTAACATTCTTTTTTTTTAATTTTTTAAGATGCTTATTCATTTTTCTGAGAGAGTGGGAAAGAAAGAAAGTGAGCAGGGGAGTGGGAGATAGAGAGAGAGAGAGGGAGGGAGGGAGGGAGGATCCGAAGCAGGCTCTGCACTGATAGCAGAGAGCCCGATGCAGCATCTGAACTCACGAACGGTGAGATCATGACCTGAGCCAAAGCTGGATGCTCCATCGACTGAGCCACCCATGCGCCGCCCCCCCCACATTTTTGGACTACTTATATATTTTTTAATGTCTTGGCCAACTCACTGGGAAGAGACACACTGTCAGTGACAGGTGGTGGTCAGGAGGCAAAGGGCATGTGAGCAGGGGCAAGCGTGAAAGTCAGGTGGAGTGCCAGCCCCAAATGTCTGCAGGTGGGTCAAAGCCTCAGCGTGCTTGGACTCTGCTCTGTGCTATTCCGTCAGTTATATTTCTGGTCTGCCACTTCCGGCTTGGCTAACTTTTGGGCAGCTCACCTACTTCATTTAATCCTCCACTTCCTCAACCGCAAAAGGTGGGCACTAGTAGGACCTTCTTCATAGGAAAGCCGTGCATATGGAGAGAGAAAACAAAATGCTTAGTCTAGCGCCTGGCAGAAAGTAGGAGCCAGCCAGTGTTAGCTGTCATGATGATGGTGATAGAGGTGCTAATAGAGTTATTATTTTTTATTGCCATTGTTATCATTATTATTATGCTTATCAGTATTATGATGTTCCTAATACTGCTTAACGCTGTAACTAAAAAGGCATTAAGTTTCCTTGCTTTGGAAGACAGCCCAAAGCTCTCCATATATCTCACTGTTGGCCTGTCCCTTCTCTCATCTCCATATTCTTTCGGTTTATTAGCAGTAGACTCTTAAGTTGAAGTAACAGTTTGCACACCACCCAGTACGCCCTGGGGGAAACAGTGATAACATACAGATTCCTACATGTTTTTGGGGGCCTAATTAGGATAGTACAATGTCATCCTTTTTACAAAGGCAAGGAGCAAACCATCTTAGTAGATATTCTACAGAATTCTCCTTTGTACTTGAAACATGTAATTATCATTCACAAACATGGGTGCTAATAATTCTATCTGCTCTTTAGACAAGACACAGGAAGATTTCTGGCCCCATCAGCTCTGATGGGAGACAACCTCCCTTGGAGGCTGCCTCCCCCATGCATCAGATGCAAGGTGGGAGGTCTGTTTGCAAGGCAAAAGGTTTCTGGGCTAGGAGCTAATAGCCCACACCAGGAAGAAGATTCCTCAGTAGATCAGGTTCAGGTCCCTGAATCCTCAAAGAGACATTCTGAGGCCTTGGCTGCCTGACATCAGAAAACCAGACCTCAGATTCAGTTTTGTTTTTTGTTTTTTTTCACTGAGAAAAGAGAGGCCTGACAAATGAACCTGGTCAACATGTGTATTAAGCACCATACCTAAACCCACAAGGGCAAAAACGAATGAAATAAAAAGCAGTCCTCAGTAAAACGTACAACTTTAAACATGCCCAAGTAGACAAACATGCTCTTGCCTCTTCTTTGTTGGGGTAACACCTTCATCCTCTTTTGGATCAGGAAATATTTTCTAATCTTTAACATTTAAATGTTCTATAATTACAAATGCTCAATAATTAATGCACACAGTTAACTAAGGAGAGTTAGCAATGTATTCCACTTGATATAGACATTTCTGAGCATCACTCCCTATCCCCCACATATTCCTGCCCCCATCAGTGGAATAGTTCCTCTAGAAGATGCTCTTGTAATTGACCAAATTAGTATGTGGGAAACAGAGAAGTCTTTCATCCACTAATCATTCCCTGGGCATGGGGACTCCCTCCTTGGGTTCACCAGAAACAGGACTTAAACCAAAATCTGCCTTCCAAATCCCAGGACCAAGTGAGCAACGCATGGTTAGGATGGACTAGAAAACATGGCAAATCACCCAGGAGACGGGGAAAAGGTAGAGTCCCAAGATGTTCCAGAGTCGCGTGGATCCCTGATCATCTAACCCTGAGCTCCCAAATGAAAAGCCAACGACTGTCTGTAATCGCTTCCATTCTTACCTCAGAGAGAACACGGCTGTCAGGCTCCTCTCTCCAATGGTGATGAGGTCTGTGCCCAAACAAAGTAACCAGCCTACCAAAGATAAAAAGATAAGGTAAGAACCACTGCTGGCGAAGAGTTACATTCCTCCACATCTGGAATGTTTTCTAACAAAAAGCAGGTCTCTGGATGTTTGAAGACCTTTCAGACTACAACAGCAGCAACATAATCAATTGAACAATACAAATGAATGAAATCCCTGGAATCAAGTCAGGTGAGACTGTTAAAGTTACAGAGAGTGAGCTAACTTTTTTATTAACATACACCTGGGGCCTAATTGGGAATGGTAATAACTGGTGAAATCATACACTTCATCACGTCCCTCCACAAAAATGGCTATTTACCAAGGACCTGGCAGTACTTTGTGTAACACTTACATATATCAGGGTATGTTGGCAGGTCAGAGCATTCACACACTCAACACGTCCACACACAAAGAAGGCTCTATGCCATTTAACTAACCCTGCTTTGGAAGACAGCCCTACCAGCTGATGAAATAATGACAACACGAGACTTGAACCCAAATAAGGGGGTGGGAGGGAAGTGCAATCTTCTTCTACAAGCACTCAAATCTTTAAATGTAAAAGACAACAATTGTGCCCAATTCTAAGGAAATCCTATTATATATTTATAGCCCTCATCTGTGATGCCAATTTCATGTGTTTAATCAACTTGACTGGGCTATGGTGCCCAGTTGTTTGGTCAAACACAAGTGTAGACATTGTTGTAAAGGTATTTTTTAGATGTGATTAACATTCACATCAGTAGACTGGGTAAAGCAGATTATCCCTGGTGGCATGGGTGAGCCTCATCCAACCAGCTGAAGTCTTAAGAGAAAAGACTGAAGTTCCTTTAGGAAGAGAGAATGCTGCCTCTATGCACCTTTGGACTTGAGATTAGGACATGAACTCTTCCTTGTGTCTCCAGCCTGCCCTGCAAATTTTGGACTTGCCAGCCTCCATAATCATGGGAGTCAATTCCTTAAAAATCAATCTATTGATCAATCGCTAGACACACACCCACACACACCTTATTGGTCAGGTTTCTCTGCAGAACTCTAATATACCATCTAATGTCAAGAAAAAAATGCCTTAATTTATAAAATATGTATACAACATGAGGACAACACAGAAAAGAGACTAGAGCATGAGGAAAATTAGTCCACAGAAATGTATTTTGTAAGGTATTAAACTATTTCTTGATGTGGTTGATAAATTAGGTTCTGAGCATCCTATCGGCCAACACAATGAAGAAAAAAGACACAAGATAATCACGTGGACTTGAAGATAAAATACAATGTAAGCACTTCAAGACCGTTAGCCTTTTTTTGTTGTTAAGAAATTTCTCCCAAGGTGGGTGCCTGGGTGGCTCAATTGGTTAAGCATCTGACTCTTGGTTTCGGTTCAGGTCATGATCTCACGGTTTGTGAGTTCAAGACCCATGTTGGGCTCTGCACTAACAGCACGAGCCTACTTGGGATTCTCTATCTCCCTCTCTTGGGATTTTGTGCCCTCCCACCCTCTCAAAATAAACAAACGAAGAAGAAGGAGGAGGAGGGAGGAGGAGGGACAGGAGGAACAGGAAGAACAGGAGGAGTAGGAGCAGGAGGAAAAGCAGGAGGAGGAGGAAGAAAGAAGAAAGAAAATCTCTCCCGAGGTGTTAACCTTCCCCTCCTTGGGTAAATTCTTCAAGTATCCTTTAACATCCACACTGAAGGGTCAGGAGGCAAAGTAATTAGAAGGGCCTCTACGTATATAGAGTCTCTCCTATAATGCCTCTTACTGCATCCCTCAGTGAGACACGATGCCAAAGCACAATTCACTAACGTGATTTAACAAGGTCAAAAAGAAGCCCAAGCACACAGCAGTCTGATCATCTGGCTTGATCCAGGGATAAAAATGAGAATTTCTGGAAGAGTTAATGAACCCCATATCCTTTGAGATATTTCCCAGAAATATTTCTCCCACTGCAAAGCTGGGTGGGAAGTGGCCTACATTACCTTAGGCTGTGTTCCCTGGCAACTGCCTGGAGTAAAGGTTTTCTCTACTGATGATCAGGGGCAGAGCCACCAAAAAACTGCCTTCAGACAGGTTAATAAAGCTCAGGCAATGCATGTCTAAAAAAGGGAAGGTTTAACTATGTTTGAGTCTGTAGAAGTCTTATAGATCCTTCCTGCACTGGAATCAATTTTCAAGACTTTTTTATTGTGGTAAAATATACATAACAAAAAATTTACTATTTTAACTATTTTTTAAGTTTTTGAGAGAGAGAGAGAGAGAGAGAGAGAGAGAACGCACACATGCACATGAGGGTCAAAGAGAGAGGGAGAGAGAAAAACCCAAGCAGGCTCTGCACTGTCCACACAGAGCCCACGTGGGGCTAGAACCCACCAACCGTGAAATCATGACCTGAATCAAAATCAGGAGGCAGACGCTTAACTGAGCCGCCCAGGCTCCCCTATTTTAACTATTTTTAAGCGTAAAACTGTGTGTGGCACTAACTATATCTACAATGTCATCCAACCATCACCACCATCCATTTCCAGAACTTTTTCATTATCCCAAACAGAATCTCTGTATCCATTAACAATGAGACCCCACCACCCCCTCCTACAGCCCCGGGTAACACCTATCCTACTTCCTGTCTCTGTTAAGTTTGTCTATTTGGTACCTCACGAGTGAAGCAATGTAATATTTGCCCATTTGAGTATTTCACGTAGCATGTTTTCAAGGTCCATCCATGTTAGACCATGTACCAGAATTCCATTTTTTATGGCTGAATAATATTCCATTGCTAGTATTTACCATGTTTTGTTTACCCTGGAATGATTTTTTTAATATAATTAATTCAACAAGTATTGAATATTTACAATGTGAGAAGTTTGATTTTTTTAAACATTAACTTTATTCTAAGAACAGTATGTAAGAGCCAGAAGTGCTACTCCACAAGGAGCCAATTAATCACATGAATCCTTGTTTCAGAACCGGTAGCAGCAGCAAGGAAACAAAAGTCTAAGTAGTTTTTCCTCCCTAAGGGCTAGGGGAATCTCTCGCACAATCTTAATGAATGTTCTTCATGTTCAAAGCTGAAGTGAGACCAGAGTACCCCCACTATGCGGCCAGTGTGCTCCACAGTGCTTATCATGGTGCCCACAGCTTACACAGTGTCATTCTTGACCCCCGACCCAGTGATAATGAGCTTCTAGCCAAGCAGCTGATGTCAACAGCCAGAAACTTCCATCCCTGCAGATAAAATACCCTGACAGAATCAACTAGAAAAGCACATCTTCCCGTAGCTGGCTTGCCATGCATCAGCTTTGCATTTCTAGGCACATCCATAAGGGAACAAGCCTTCTGTGTGGAAACATGGGTGTTTCCACAGCACCTCCCCAGCAAGACAGTGTAACAGTTGAAAGAGAAAGCGAGAACCTGCACCTCACTCCGGTTTTCACCTTTCGAGGGTATAAAAGAGCAGGTGGTGCCAAGGGGGGACGCCACCACACACCTGAATTCACAAAAGTGGCCCAGGATGAGTCATCAAAAGACGTCCACGGGACGTTGACGAGAAACAACCAATTCTATACACTGATGAGGGAATCGCAGGCAAAAATCAAGAACCACAGAGGATCGAGGCCACTTTGTTCGGCATGAACTTCTCAGCTGGGAGGATCTGCTGTCATCCCAGATTGTTAACAGTTGGCTGAGCTGAAGTTCATTACTACTTTTGTGTTCGGTTGACGGGGACTATGTCATCCGACCAACAAAAGTGGTTTTACAAAAATATAGACAATTTAGCCTGGAGTTCCTCCTGTGTGTTTTTAACGTTTTATTTATCGTGAGGGGCACCTGGGTGGCTCAGTGGGTTAAGCGTCCGACTAAGCACACGGTCTCTCTCAAAAATGAATAAACATTAAAAAAAATTAAATACTTATTTTGAGAGTACACAAGTCAGGGAGGGAGAGAGGGAGAGGATCTGAAGTGGGGTCTGAGCTGACAGCAGCAAGCCCGATATGGGGCTCAAACTCAACAAATGAGAGATCGTGACCGGAGCCGAAGTCAGACACTCAGCCGAATGAGCCACCTAGATGCCCCCTTCCTGTATGTTTTTTAAGACAGACTTCAAAAGCAAGAGTTTTTTGTAGATAAACACAAAATGAACACTGTTAAGATTGTGCCTTTTAGTATATAGGTAAAGAGTCCATTGCCTCTGAAACAAGAGATATTTCCATGGGTTGTAGAAGCTGGCCCCAAACAGGCTGAAAGTAGGATGCTAAAGTGAAGGATCTCCAACTAGTCTAATCAGGAAACCCCAGCATGAGAAGGCACTCAGTTCTCTGTCACAAGTAATTACTCTACCCCTCTTCCAAGGGCATCAATAATATGCATTTGGGATGTTGATGGGGGCACAATTTGAGTATGAAAATTTCATCTGTGGTAATCATTCGGATCCTCCAACTTTTGTTAAGTTCATTCAAACCTTTCTTGTGTGTAAACACACACATACTCTCAAAAATATTGTCCCGTGGCCTGGATCCATTTTCAAAGATGAGAACCCAATAAGGCAATGAGGGTTCATCAGAAGATACAAAATTAAACTTGAACTTGGTAGAATGCCAATTACTTTCTGTTATGGGCTGAATTGTATCCTCTTTCCTCCAAAATTCATATGTTGAAGTCCTAACCCCCTGGTACCTCAGAATGTGACTATACTTAGAGACAAGGTCTTTAAATAGGTGATTAAATTAAAATGAGGTGCTTAGGGTGGGCCCTAAACCAATACGACTGCTGTCCTTATAAGAAGTAATTTAGACACAGAGCTGTACAGAGGGGAGATCATGTGACGACACAGGGCGAAGAGGACCATGGGAAGTGAAGGAGAGAGACCTCAGAAGAAACCAAACCTGCCTACACGTTCATCTCAGACTTCCAGGCTCCAGAACTGTGAGATAAGAGATTTCTGTTGATTATGCCACCTAGTCTGTGGTACTTATTATGGCAGCCCGAGACAACTAATACTCCTTCCCCTTTTCTTTC